TCAATTTCTCATACCACCTCATCAACAGCATTATGAGGAAAATATACACCTTCAATAAACTGAGTAACCTTGAAAATTGAGTGAAAAGAAGGTCAGAAACTCTATTATAAGGAAGGGTAATATTCCACACAATTTGGGCACCGCTACGAACAAAACACTCTGAGACTGTAGTGTCTAGATTAGTCATCTTTTGAAAGAGCAAAGGAAAAAGTAATTTCAGAGGACAATCCCCAACCCATTTGTCGTGTCGAAAAGAAATCTTGCTGCCACTACCTAGAAACCACCGAATGTCTTGATGAACAAAGCCTTTATACAAGTGAATTGCCCTCCAAACAGCCAACATACCCCTGACTCCATTCCTAGTCCCCACCCACATACCAAACCTATCAGTCTCATACTTTGAAGCAATAACTTCATATCAAAGATAGTCTTTAAAAATAAGACTCCTCCACCACCATTTACACAACAAAGCTTGATTTACCAATTTAATTTTTCTAACACTAAGCCCCCCTTCCTTTTTGGGCGTACACACCCTATCCCAACGAAGAAGATGGAATCTTTTCCCCTCCGTTGAGGACCCCCACAAAAAGTTCATCATCATAGTCTCAATTTTTCTAGCCACCGAGGTAGGGATCTGTAAGATAATAAATAGGCAAATTAGACAAACACGCCTTAATGGGCATAATCCTCCCCTTAAAGGAAAAATATTTAAACTTCCATAAATCAAGCTTAACTTGGATTCGTTGAATGATTGTATCCCAAACCACAATAGGAAGTCTACCGTCTGACAATGCATCCCCAAATAGGTAATAGGAAAATTTTCAATTTTACATCCAAACACCTCAGCTAAAGAGGACACCTCCACATCATGACAGTTTACGCCCACAACACTAGTTTTCCCAAAATTAACTTTTAGACCCAATGCAGCTTCACAACATTTCAGGAAAGTGGTAATATTGGAAACCTGAGACTTCTGTGCTCCACAAAACAAAAGGGTATCATCAGAATATTACAAATGGGAAATACACGGACCACCGTTAGGCATATGAAAACCAGTAAAGTATCCCCTCCTCATCACATTCGTGAGCATTAAAGCATTCCGCATAAATAGTAAAGAGGAAAGGGGAGAGAGGATCACCTTGACGTAGTCCTCGTGTAGCTTTAAAAATGGGGGGAGGACTTATTATTTTAAGGACTTGGTTTTTTTGCGGCCAATCTCGCATATGTAGAAATGCAGGCCTCTTAATAAATCTATTTTTAAGATGGATTTAAGGCTTAAATTTTAAGGATATGTAATCTCCTACATGGAGATCATGGATATGAAAAGATAAATAAATTTTAAAAACCAAAAATAATAATTCTAGTAAGAAAATATTTAGACTGTCAGCTTCTATTGTTTTTAGATGGAACACCTACTTGCATCCATCTTTAAGATGGACACTTTACACTTTCTGAACCATAAATGTAGAAATGCGGTCCAACCCACATGAAACAATTTTCCTTATTTTAATATGGTTGTTAATCCTATCCAGCTCACATGAAACAAATAATATGGGGGTTATTAATGTGGTTTAAAAGTATTAGGGTGGAGCAATGCCAAGAAAGTAAGGTCAAATGAGGGCTTTACAATTTTGCTAGATTTTATATTCAAAACATACCTAAATAGTGCTTTTAGATATATTTTCTTACAGGAAAATATCATTAAAGGGGATAAAACCCATAGAATATCATCAAAGACGTAAAATTATTCTTATTAACATTTCAGGGCTTTTTTTTTGCTTTTTCATTTTTACTCAAATACTTTCTAAAAATAAAAAATACCCAAATTGCCCTTATCCATTATTTGGAATGAGAAATAATGAGGGGCATTTTAGTAATTTGATCCAAAGGTTTAACTTGAATGATAGAAATACCCTAGTTGTTCTGCATTATAAAGAAAAAAATATATTGTTCGACATTACTATTGCGGAACTAGGTATATTTTTGTATTTTTATATATGAAAAATATTTAAGTGCAGAATAATAAAAATTCCCTTAGTTCTTTTGCATTACTAATATTGAAAATGCGTTCTTTATTTGTAATGCAGAAATGGTATTTTCATTATTTGGGGGAGGCATCTTGGGGATTAAATTATTAAAATGCCCCTCATTGGTCCTAATTCTAAATATTGGGCAAAGACAATTTGGATACGTTTAAAAAAAAAATTTGTAGAGGTATCTAAGTGAAATGTAAAAGATAAAAAATATAAAAAAAAAAATCCTCAAATGTTAATAGGGGTAATTTGAGGGGTTTAGTCCCCTTTAATAATATTTTCCATTTTCCTATTCTAATCTTAGTTCTCAATTCAAATGCCATATCCAAGTCTTAGGAACCTTAAGTATTTCCTTCCAAGCCTTATATGCTTTTTCCTAGATCCCACCGAATCCAGGCAGGTAAAATCCTCTTTTTCCTATACCCCATCCCCTGCAGACCATATCCCTCCCATATTCCATAATAGCCTAGCACCTGCATACATCCACATCTAGCCAAATCCACTCTCGTATTCTGCGATAGATTTCTTTTAGGCCTTGTACACTTATCTCGGGGATAGGCCCTTTCTCGTCGAGTATTCAATCAAATTGAAAATGGCATGGGCTTTGACATTAATATTACCGAGTCTCATGTTTCTGATTCCATTTTTATCAAAAATTTGCCAAAGTCTCATGGTTTCTGATTCCATTTTTATCAAAAATTAGGAGCCCAAATCCCTGCTGACTTACCTCTTTACTTAACAAAAAAAAAGAATTCAATCTAATTCAGTCTGCTCCGACTCTAGTTCTCACATCAACAACCATTTTGAGGTACATTTTCTTCTCTCTATTTTTTCTTTAATTTTTATTATTTCAAACTTAAATTGATTTTGAAAAACTTTGGTTTGTTTTCTTTCATACTCAAGATTTATTTTTCAGACTTATTTAATTTTTTTTTTATTCTAAAGTGTCCCGTAGTCATCACCTAGGAAAAATAGCAATTTTTATATGCACTCTTGGCTGGACGCCTTTCATCATCGAGTCCTTTAAAAAATTTCATTTGTTTCCTTCAGAGAATATTGAAAGGTCCCGACAATCAATTCCAGCGCTCTCGAATTTTGATTTAAATAGGGGTCAAAGACAAGCTTTTGTCAACAGTGGATTTATTACCAGAATCAGATTTAAGGTGTTACCATCCTCGGTGGTTTAAGGGCTTAACTTTCAACGTTTTCATCACTCTGTTTTGGGACATACTAATTACGTACTTAACATTTGACATAGAGCCACCACAACGACCAAAATTCAAACCCAAGAAAGGGCTACCTATGGCCCAAGAAAGGGGACTATTTTTCCACGTTTCTGTCACCTATTGGTTATATTTCTAGCATTCAAAATGGAATAAGCTTTTAGACTAAACTATAAGGAAGGCATTTAAAAACTATATGATTCGATGCCCAGAAGAAGTTTCGCCCGTTTCTTTCTCAAATTCGAAATCAAAGTCACTTCACTCGCTAGGGAAAGAAAAGGGGGAGATGGTGGAAGAAGAAGATGGATCAGCAGTGGAAGTGGAACAAGCTGCATCCTGAGCATCAGTGAGGAGTGAGGAGTGTCTTCGTCTGATAGTGCTTCTTCTTATGCCTCGAACACTAAGCATCAGAATGGGAAGTGGACTTATGATTGCTACTTATTAGCTAAGCTTAGCCTGCTTTCTTTCATAACAGAGCCGGCGTCATATAAGTCTCTCGCACGCAAGGAGATGCAGCTGCGTCACGGTTCCGGGAAGCCATGATCCTTCTCTCTGGAACAGGGCACTGACTGAATTTCTAGCTTGCCAAAGGTGGGGGAGTTAGGGTCCGGTTGTGGTGGACAGGTTCTCAAAGTACGCTACCTTCATCCCCGGAATTGCATAGCTTCAGAGGCGGCCCGGCTCTTTGTAAAGCACGTGGTTCAGTATTTGGGAAGGAAATGGGTGTAAGTGGTGGCTGCGAGTGAAAGAGTTAACCAAAAAAGAGCACATGCAAAACACACTCATACGACCGAATCCACTTAATTCATAGAGTATACACATTCATAAGACCGAATCCACTTAATTCATAAAGTATATGAAGTACCACGTCCAAAAAAAAGCACTATATTGCAGATCATGACCTTCAAAATAGACCTCCGGTATGTTGTCCAATCAGATACAAGGTCAGAAGTAGCCCTAGGGTATTGGGAGAGGCGTATGAGATGCATGCCGCCAAGAAGGTAGCTGTCCCAAAATACAAAAATCATTTGGGAGGTAACGAATATTTGGCGTCTGAAATTTTAAAGAAATCTTAGAGAGAAAGATATAACCGAACTTATTTGGCGTCTGAAATTTTAGAGAAATCTTGAAGATAAAGATATAACCGCACTGATTCTCTTCTATATGCCAAGAGGGGAAAGTGTTCCATGCATCTCTTTTATAGCGAGATGCACAAGGGGGTTATTGCAAGGTCCTCCTACATGAAACATGGAATAACGAAGGTTCGAGAAAGTTGTAGGAAAATCCATCCTATGTTGGTTTTTATGTAGTGTTCCTTGACAAACACGACCATAGATAATATGCAAAAATAGTTTACTCATCTATAGCTACCTGGAACAACATAACTTCTTATTAACGTCAAACATAGTTATCAAGATCCACCTAGGACCTTGATCGATCTCATCCAAAGTAAAAATCAAATTTAATCAAAACCAGTGTTCAACCAGTTTTTACTAGTCTGACCAGCCAGTTTCGACCAGTTAAAGAAAGTTGAGCTACATCTTTTAATATATTACATATCTTTAAACCATTATTCGTAGTTTTCGTTACATTTTTAAAATCTAGCAAACCATTCGACCAGATTCTCAGTGACTTGGAGAATAGTCTGATCCTGATAACATTGTTCTCAAACCAATACCATTCCCTTTCCAACAACTCAAATTAGAATTGCTGACTGGACTCTCTCAAACCAATACCATTTCCCTTTCCAACAACTCAAATTAGACTTCTTGCTCATTGGACTCTCTCTCTCTCTCAGCGGGTGCGCGTGTTAATTGTTGTACAACCAAACCATAACACACACACACACAGCAAAAACACAAAATCGAAAAGATCATAAAGCTGCTAAAAGTACACAAAATTGTCCAGTTCAATTTTCATTGAGAACTGTCAAATCCATTATACTATATCAGAGAACAATTGAAATGAAATCATTTCCTTCCACTGCAAATCTAGACCAACTTGAACGACCCTGCACACAACAGAAATATTGTAACCTTAGCTTCTACAACGGCAATCCAATAAATATATAAAGTAAATAAACAAGCGAACTAATTGATTAGAAAGCGAGAAGCACCTACTATTCAATCATCCCTTGATTCTCTCGAAGAAATATATGTAGCCCATGTCTCTCGGAGGATCAACAGATGCTGCAACCTTCTTATCATTGAAGATAACCCATCTGCCATCTTTCAGCACATGGGCAACATAGTGCCCACAATGTGTTGACGTACCCATGTGGCTTACAAATGCCATGAGCTTGTATCCTATATGAATCGAATGAAATGAACATTAAGGTGCAAGAAATTAGCAACTATGCACAACAAAAACCAAAAAGTAAGTTTGGGACAAGGCCATTTTCGGGTAACTCACAAAAGCAAAAGCAAGTTGATACATTTTAAATTAAGTAAAATGGAACTGAAGGAAGGACAACCATCTGCCCTTGAATAATAGAGTAAAAGAAAAGATTCAGGAGAAAAGAAAGCACTATGCATTAACCATGAAAATGATCAAAACACCCATAACTAATCATCAATTAGTCCATCTGGTGTTTCCGCATGTATCAAAATGGAAGTTACGGAACAAACAAATTAAGCATTAACCATGTACATCTGTGTGACATACATATATAAAGCATACCAGCATGCCTACACACAAGAATGAGAGAGTCAGATCATGTTGCTTCGTGCATATGAACGAATGCTTAAAATTGGCATAATCTCGCAAAACATTATATCTGTGATTGCATCTCCAGTATAGTATAATCACTGGCTGAGGCATATACGTTTCCAAAGACATCATTTTTCACCCAGGTAACCATTTTGGGGATCAAAAGCCTAAATAAAAAATCTCTTCAAGATCTACAACCGTTATCTATATAGAAATATATTTTTTTCCCCAAGCATCACGAGCTGCAAATCATGGTTGAAAGCCCATTGAGATTTTTTTTTTCTTTGAGAATGAAGCCCATTGAGATATTTAAGAGTCTTTTGTAATTCCTATTATGATGTTCTTACCTAATTTGCATATGGAAAATAGTTTCTGGTTTTTTAAAGAGCTCTAGAAAAGAATCTTTCCATATTATGCAATAAAAAAGTTCGTTTCCGTATTCCTAAAACAATAGAGGAAGCAGCTACCTAATTTTGAATGATCCTAGAAGATTGAGAGGTTTAGCAGAGTAAAGATAGCATGAGTTATTCACCCCAAATAAAAAATAAAAAAGACAGCATGAGTAACAAGATAAGTAAAGAAAGAGGGATTCATACCTCCAGAAATACTCATGTGGGCCTACAGCCAAATCAAGTTCAAGTTGAGTATTAAATTTTGGATTTAAATTGTGACGAATATCATTAGACAAGAGATTCCGCCTTCCGTTTTTTTTTTTTTTTTTTTTTGGTCAAAAAGAGCGACCCTACAACTTTAGCCCAGTTTTGGAGAATCCCACCTTCATGTTTTGGTTTGGAGATTACCCAAAATCTTTGCTTGTGGATTAGAAGTTCTCCCCAAGTAAGCCTGGTCCCTTCTTCTTTTCCCCCTTCTGTAGTACATTCCCAAGATTTTGATTAAGAGATTACCCAAAAGCTTTGCTTGTGGAATGGATGTTCTCCCCAAGTAAGCCTGGTCCCTTCTTCTTTCTCCCTTCTATAGTACATTCCCATCCAAGATTTCCAACAACAAAATTCATCACCCATCCAAACCATTCTATAAGTTGTAGTCATACATCTCCAAGCATTAGCAAAGTTGCTCAGTGATGCAGGGAGAAATAATTAACCAGAAAAATAGAAATATAAAATAAAAAGGATGGAGAGAATAAACCCTCTCTCAAGGTTTACAAGGGAATCCACCCCAAAAAGTTCTTTTGACAAGATCAACTTTACTCAATTCCAATCTGCTCTTTACAATGAGGGACTTTTTCCCTATAAATACACTTAGAAAAAAATAATAATATAAATAAACAAATAAAAACACATTTATCTATCTCCGTTTAAAACTCCTTTGTTTCCTCAAACAGATATTCTTTCTAACTACGCGTTTATCAAAAGTTTGACTTTTTAACTAAATGATTGACTTTCTAAAGGTTAGAATATATCCTCTAAGATAGTCCTTCCCATTTCTCTCTATCTAAAAGATAACTCCTAAAATTCTAAAATAAATATCTTTTATACCCCTCAAATCTCTACAATAAATAAAATACAAAATAACCCTTTATAAACTAAAAATCTAAATAATACTAAATCTAAAATCAAGAAAATATAAAAATAAAAAAACCACAATTTTTTTTGGCATCACACTCCCAGAGTTGGGAGAAGCTCGACCTTGAGCTTACATCCGTCAAAGGTCAATCAAATAATTGGTCATGTAGTCCCGCCATGTGGCTCGGTATTTTTTGTAATAAACTGATTGATCAAATGCTTCGCGTTTATCTCGAAATAGAACATTGGGATCTCGAGCTCAATCGTGATTCCTTTTTCTTTCTCAAGTTCCTCATAAAACTTGAGAAGATCGAGCTAAATACCAAGATCATGTAGATGCCCCTCTGATCGTGGTTCTTGCATCACGATGTGCTTGTTACATATAAGATCGGCATTTGGAATCGATTGTGAAGGTAGTTTTGTCTCTAAGGTAAAAGGTGGTGTCAGATCTATGTAATTGTGAGCACCATCTTCTCCAAGAATAACGTTCTCTAAACATTGCAACCACTGATTCATTTCACGAACTTCGGTTCGAACATCCTCCATGACTTTGGTCATACTTACACGAACATCCTCAATAACTTTGGTCAAACTTTCTGAAGCTTCTCCCAAGCTATCATCCATAGCAGGATTAGCTTTCAATGGCATTGCAAAAAGCTGGATCTTACTTGCTCTCATACCAACTTATGCAAGAAATAATAAAACAAAAAAATAAAAAATAACTCATACCAACTGATACAAGGAGAAATAATAAAACAAAAAAATAAAAAATAAAAAGGGTTGAGAGAATATACCTTCTCTCAAGATTTGCAAGAGAATCCACCCCAAAAAAATATTTTCACAATATCAACTTTACTCAATTCCAATCTCCGCTCTTTACAATGAGGGAGTTCTTCCCTTTAAATACACTTAGAAGAATAAATAAATAAATACACATTTATCTCTCTCCTTTTAAAACTCCTTTGTTTCCTCCAAAAGATAACCTTTCTAACTACACGTTTATCAAAAGTTTGTCTTTCTAACTAAAAGATTGACTTTCTAAATATTAGAATATATCCTCCAAGATAGTCCTTACTAATTCTCTCTATCTAAAAGATAACTCCTAAAATTCTAAAATTCTACAACAAAAAAAATACAAACTAACCCTAAATAAACTAAAAATCTAAATAATACTAAATCTAAAATCAAGAAAATAGAAAAAATAAAAATAAAAACCCAAATTTTTTTTTTTGCATCACTCGGTGACTTCCCTAACCATACATCTACACATTGTAGCCTTCAAACTCAAGTTTAAACACTCAATTTCCTTTGCAACCATCATAGATTGCTGGACTTTAAATTTCCAAATGCCAACAAGGTACGTCTACCCTAAACCCTTAAACTGAACCCTATTATTGCTTTAATCATACCAAACCTTTCCCCATGGATACCTCTTTTAGGCCTACTAATGTCCACTACTATGCATATAGAACTCATGACTCCTAAAACCATGATGTCATAATCTTTATAGGAATCAAAACCCTTTAGAATTCATAAATCCAACCAAATCAGACTTTCCAATCGTAACCAAACCCTTGCTTCCTACATTAGTTTAGGTACCAAAGCAAGTCCTCTAGGAGCTTGCATTGAGATCAGCCTCTCAACCCAAATGGGTCAAACCTATCGCTCTCATCTCTCCAAAACCCAAAGTATAACCCATACAATTCCTCCAAAGTAGGGACATATCCAATTAGGCGGAAATGAAAGTGCTCTGCCCCAGGACCATCTACTTCACAACATAGAGATCTGTTCAAATTTAGCCCCATCCCTATCCAAGCAAAGAGCTCCTATAACTTCTGAGAAACATGACACTAGAGAAAGAGGTATTGTAAGTAACAACACTTCAAAGGGAAGCAATCTCATCAAATACTTAAAAGTGACGAGGACTAGGTTACATCACTTTTCATTCTCCAACCAAGGCTTCAAACTTGGTGGATAATGCATCCATAGAAAAGCAGAATCACCTAGATGATAAAGGAACCATTGAAGGAGAAATCATGGAGCATATGACATTCAAAGTCCTTGTGCTCGAACCCTTGCTCTCTCTTTAGAAAGATCAGTCAGTGAATTGTAGAATTAGCAGCATTCAAAAGAAAATCAAGTACAGATGAGAGATATGCACCCGCATAAGCTGATGGGGGAAGCATCGTCAATACATAGTTACAATGAACACGTTCTCTAGGGGATTGTCTCACTCCAAAAACATCATTCTATGTTCCCGAAAAAATCCTCCTAGGAAGCTCGCTCCTGATTATATGGCATCTTGATCTCATTTAGCATGGGACCTCGAATCTATTTAACATGGGATCCTGATCCACATCCATCAAATATATAATTGGACAATTTCTTTCTAAGGATAATTGATATATTATTAGATGAATCTTCAATTATAAAGAGAATTATAGTCGTTACTATAGTAGTAAACATAACACCATTGGAAGACTATGCTCGTTCAAGGGTAAATTAGACTTCCCTTTCTTGTCATGGTCTCACAATCTAAATTCCTTTTTTTGTGGGACACTCTCACCATAGAGTTTCACTGGTGCATGTAAATAATATAAAAAATATATCATTTAGTTTTTAACTTATTTACAATTTCACCTTATTTTATAATGTGTGTGTGCACGGATAATCTACCATTCACAACCCTTGAAAACACAAAGATTAATGCATAAAGGGCTGTGAAGGGTGGATTTATTAATATGTAGTTTCTTTTTTAGAAGAGTTATATTTTAAGGTAACTTGCTCACTCATTAAGGGTGTATATGTAATTGTCACTAAAAGACAAGGGGTACGCTTGTCATCTTTAAAAGAACAAAGCTAAAATTTCTATTAAAGGACAAGGTAATAAAGTTTTAGGACACTACCTTCCAAAATGCTGTTGTGCTTTTGTGAAAATTCCAAATAGATCCCTTAATCATTAAATTACCTAAAAATAATTTTTATATCAAAAAGCCATAATTTTGATGAATACACCCACCACATGCTATTCTAACATTAGCCTTGGCATTTAGAGGTATGTGTATACACACACA